CCCCTCTGACACTCACTGGCTTTGTGACCATGGGAAGGTCAGTTCCCTTCTCTGAGGCTCTTTTCTTATCTATAAAGTGGAGATAATAAAACCTGTAGCACCAGCCTCTATCTCATTGGGCTGATGGGAGCCTCAGATGAGCTAATGTACAATTGTAGACTTTTAAGTGCTATATTAATGTCAGCTTCTATTATCTTCATCTTACAGATGAGGCAATGGAGAGTCAGTTAGTGTGTGTGTCAGACGAGTCCAAAATTCTTACCACTATTCCACGTGACCTTTCCTTCCACATATATGCCACCGGCCCATTCCCCCTTTTCCCCTTCTTTCCTCTCCTCTCCCATACCTGCTAATGTAGAAGATTTGAAACTTCCTTTTTCTTTACCTTAACAGTGGTCAAAGAGCATTGTAGGACCTTGGAAGAGCCCGCTTTTGGGAAAAGCAAGATAGGGTACATGAAAGTGCCATAAAAGTACATATAAATTATCTAAACCCAAGGTGGTGGTTATTATTATTTCCTTCCTGGGTCAGGGCCTTCTGAATAAAGTAAAATAGACCTTTCAGGTTATCTGTGATCATAAGCTATAATTCTCCACACTTCCAGATGCTCTTAATTTTTAGAGGCATGTCTAAGGGTGATCTGTCTCATGAATCCTAGAGTCTCTGAGTTGGAAGAGAGCTACCTCCAAGGCTACCTAGTCTGTACCGGAAGCACAGTCTCCTCCACAAAACCCCCACCAAGTGGATCATCAGCCTTTGCTTTGAAGTTCTCCAGTGAAGGACAACTTCCTCCCTCCCAAGGCAACCATTTCTATTTCTGAATGGCTGTATTAAGAAATTTTTTCCTAAATCAGCCTCTGGGCAACTTGCACACTTAGCTCTTAATTCTGCCATCTGGGGTCAAACAAAACCAATCTAATTCTTTGTCCACGTGACTCCATTTCAGATACTTTAAGATTACTCTCATGTTTTAGATAAATCTTATCTTCTTTAGCTAAAATGTTCCCAGTTTCTTCCATGAATCCCTGTGTAGCATGAATTTTATGCCTTTACCATACTGGTCGATTTTTATCTGTGCAACATTACTTGTATATGTCCCTGTCTCTCATCTCAACCTGCCACCATCCCTGTACAGGGTTTTATTACCTGGACTATTGCAGTTACCTGCTGGCTGGTCTACCTGCCACAAGTCTCTTCCCATTCCAGTCCATCCTGCACTCAGCTGTCAAAGTGATCTACTTAAGCACAGGTCCAGTCATGTCACCTCACTATTGAATCAATTCCAGTGGCTCCCTATCGTTTTCAGGATCAGCTATACAATCTTCTGTTTCACTTTTAAAGCCCTTCATGATGGAGATCACCGACACAGTGTCTCAGTAGTTTGTTCAGATTTGTTAACTTAAACTCATTAGGGAAAGCTGTGTAGTCTTATTGTCAAATTCTTTATTATCTTGGATTTCGACTCCCTACTAGTCAATTTTGCTCTTTCTTTTGTAGGGATCATTCTCTTTGGGAAACAACCAAATCAGCAGCAATATAAGAGCTGGGTGGTTCTGCCTTCTTTCAATTATCATTGGTATTTCTGCTGCCATTGGAGGACCTAGAGATTTTCTTTTTCTTTTGTTAGTTTATTTTGATTTATCAACAATCACTTCCATAAGCTTTTGAGTTTAAAATTTTTCTCCCCCTTCCTTCCCACCACCCTCCCCAAGATGGCGCACAATCTGATATAGGCTATACATATACATTCCTATTAAACATATTTTCACATTAGTGATGTTGTAAGGAAGAATTAGAACCAATAGAAGGAACCACAAGAAAGAGAAAACAAAACAAAATAGAAGAAAAAAATAGCAAATAGTATGCTTTGATTTGCATTCAAACTCCATAGTTCTTTCTTTGGATGTGGATAGCATTTTCTGTCAGGAGACCTTTGGAGATGTCTTATATCCTTGCATTGCTGAGAAGGGCAAAGTCTATCAACGTTAGTCATCTTACAACGTGGCTGTTACTGTGTACAGAGTTCTCCTGGTTCCGCTCATTTCACTCAGCTTCAGTCCATATAAGTCTTTTCAGGTTTTTCTGAAGTCTGCTTGCTTATCATTTCTTTTAGCACTATAGTATTCCATTACATTTGTATACCACAACTTGTTCAGCCATTCCCCAATTGACGGGCATCCTCTCATTTTCCAATTCTTTGCCATCACAAGAAGAGCTGCTGTAAATATTTTTGTACATGTGGGTCCTTTTCCCATTTGTATGATCTCTTTGGGATACAGCCCTAGAAGTGCTATTGCTGGGTCAAAGTGTATGCACATTTTTATAGCCCTTTGGGCATAGTTCCAAATTGCTCTCTAAAATGGTTGGATTGTTTCACAGCTCCACCAATAATGCATTAGTGTTCCAATCTTCTCACATCTTCTCCAACAGTTATCATTTTCCTGTTTTGTCATGTTGGCCAGTCTGATAGGTGTGATGTGGTACCTCAGAGTTGTTTTGATTTACTTTCTCTAATCAATAGTGATTTAGAGCATTTTTTCATATGACTATAGATGGCTTTAATTTCTTCACCTGAAAACTCCCTACTCATATCCTCTGACCATTTATCAATTGGGGAATGACTTGTATTCTTATAAATTTGACTTAATTCTCTATATATTTTAGATATGAAGCCCTTATCAGAGACACTGGTTGTAAAAATTCTTTCCCAATTTTCTACTTTCCTTCTAATCTTGGTTGCATTGACTTTGTTTGTGCAAAGCAAAGGGGACCTAGAGATTTTCACAGAAGAAACAGAGTCAGAGTCAATCATGCTAGAAAGCAACACCTTGTGTTGTAGAGAGAATTTACATTATATGACAGAAGGAACTTGACTTTTAGATACTCAGAGAGGCATGGGGAAAGAGGATCAAAAAGGACATGAGGGATGTGTTGGTATGACAGTGACCTGAAAGACAAGGGTGCAGCTAGATTTCTGGAGGGGGTACATAGGGTCCCTGCCTCACCTGGGGTGGTCACAAGGTCATAGAGTTAAGGCTGAAATGGATCTTCCAAGGTTATCTGATCCAGTCTCTTCATTTTTTGGGGGGGGAGTGGGGGAGGCAATCAGAGTTAAGTGACTTGCCCAGGGTCACATAGCTAGTAAATGTCTAAAGCCATATTTGAATTTAGGTCCTCCTGATTCCAGGGCCTGTGCTCTATCCACTGCACCACCTAAATTCCTCTACCAGGCTCTTCATTTTACAAATGATGGAATTGAGGGCCAAGGTTAAGTGACTTTCCCAAGGTCACCTAGGTAGCAAATGACAGTTGGGATTTATCCTTGAGTCAGATCTTCAGGAGGGAGGACATTGGTGATTGAGGCTAAAGGCTTCCTGCTGCCATGGCAACCAGGTTCTTAGTTACGCTACCATTTTTTTTCACCTGCAGATTATTTGGGCTGTCCTGCACAATAGTGTTGGACTTGGCTGTGAAAGAGGGATAAGCTTCTTGTAAGGAGGGTCAGAGTCTTGATCAAATGTATACAATTAATTTCACACTCCTGATGTCACAGATGGAGAGATGCCAATCATAGGAGACTGAAGTATCTAGCATTGACTTTCATGCAGAATAATAGCAAGCAACTGATTGAGTCTTCAAGGTTTGCAAAGCACTTAACTTACATTATCTCATTTCATCCTCAAAACAGCTGTGGGAATTAGGTGCTCTTATTGTCCCTGTTCTTGCACAAGTGGAAGGTAAGGGACTTTGCAGCCTCAGTTTGTTCTGAGCTTTAGCTTTGCTAACACTATTCATATGGGACTATTCCACTCTTTTGAATCTGTTCTCTTTGCTTCTGTCTTTTGTAAATCTCTTAAAACAAACAAACAAACAACTAAGTTGTCTATAAGTGCATCCATATTAGTCTCTTTAGAAAACTCTTCCTTTTCCTCCTCATTAGAACTATTTATTTGCATATCTTCAGAATTTCATAGTTGGGAGCTTTCTACTCATTCTGGACCTTTTGAAACTTGCTTTCCCCAATGTGTGTCTGATTGTACCCAATTTTCCTATTCTTTTCTACTCTGAGTGCTGAGATGGGAGCATGTCCCCACCAAAGTTCCCACTGTTTCTACCTCAGTGACCAGTTCGTCTTCATTCATCGGAATCAGAGAAATCATTGCTTTCCCTTCATTTTGGAGGATGAAATTATCAGTAAGACAAAGTCAAGAGTGTATTAGCTGCACTGAAAATTTCAAGATAACTCAAGTCCCCCATTTACTACTATGTCATGCTACCATATCAGACTTGTGGTCTGTTTCCTGAACTCCTCATCTATTTCTTCCTTCTGTTCAGGTGGTCTGTTGTTTATCACCATGGTAATATTGCTTCTCTTTCTTCTTTCACTAATCTTCACTAAAAGGATTTCCACTGTGCTTTCCTGTTCTGGTTACTCTATTTCATCATATGAGTACATCTTCATAATGAATACATCATAAGCTTTTATTCTCCATTTATAATTTTTACAGGTGAACAAGGAGCCTCAGCTTCATGCCTACAGAAAGGAGTAACAATCGCCAAGCTCATTAAATTATGCTTCTTCTAAGACTTTCATTTCCAAAGTTAATAATTCTGTTTATGTAAAACCATCTGCCTTCATTGTGGGCTCTTAGTAATGTATTTACATTTTACAGCTGATGCATTTTACCTTATGGAGTCAGGTTCAGCTGACACTCCTACTCATAACTCTAATCCAAGCAGAAGGGCTTTAACAGGGAACTGACCTGGGGAATAGAAGTGTAAACTGAAGCACAGTTCCTTCCCAGCAGTTGCTTCTGTTCTGTAAAGCAGGGGATAACATTGTTAGAGTATGACTCATTTGTTGATCTCTAAGCTCCTTTTTTAAGTCAACAAACATTTATTAAACACTATGTCCCACGTACTTTTTTCAGAAGGAAAAAGAGAGTGTCTCCGGTAGGCTGTATATTAAACATTGCTTGGGATTATTTTTGTTTCCCCAGGAAGGATCAATACCTCCTCTCTCCTGTGAATTGTTGGTATCTAGTGTTGAACCAGACCCGGCGTGAGAGTAGGGACCACGCTACGCTCAATGACATCTTCATGAACAATGTCATCGTCCGTCTCTCCCAGATCAGTGAGGATGTTATCAGGCTCTTCAAAAAGGTGAGTGGGAGGTCAATACTGGGAATGTTGGGTTTGTGGAAAAGATGGAAGTGTCAGAGCTCTGGTCAACCAAATGTAAGTTAGGAAAGATGCTAGATTAGGTTGGAGGTGGGGACACATGTGGCCAAGGAGAAAAAGAAAGGTACATTCATGACATAAGAATGAAGGTCGCTTCCCTTTTTCTGAAACATACTGCCTCACTGGCCCATTGAACTCTTGCCTTGTAAGTCATATACTGACAAATTCAATTATCTACCCATGGGCACTACCACTAAAACCTCAATAGTTTTAGAGTACTAGACTTCAATTCCCTTGACCATAGTAGCTACTTATAATGAATCTGGTCTTCTTTTCCCTGTTGTCAGTTGATAAGTGTTAAGGAACAGAAACTAATTTTAATATCAACCCAAATAAAGTATAATTAGCAAAGGAAATCTGCTGCAAAAAAAATACATGTTCCAAAGTTAAATAGACGTGACTTTGGGATAATATGTTCTTTTCACTCCCTTTATCTAATTGTTGGCTAAATCTTGTTGATTCTGCCTTTTCAGCTCTTGCACATATCTCTTTTCCACTCCCATAGCTACTGTCCCAATCCAGGCCCTCACTGTCCTCTCTCCAATCCATCCTCCATACCACTACCAAAATCACCTTTCTAAGGCCCAAGTCTGACCACTGCTCAGAAAATCGTCATTAGCTCCCTATTGCCCCTAGAATAATTTCTTTACAAATCCCTCCTCTTGGCATTTAGAGTCCTCTGGCTCCAAATTCATTTTACTTCCCCTTCATATATTCTACTTTTTAGCCAAATCAGCCCACTTGCTATTCCTCAAACTTGATATGTAATTTCCTATCACTATGTCTTTGAATAGTTCCCCCCCCCCCCACAACTGGAATGTATACCTTCACCTCTGTTTCTTAGAATCTCTAGTTCCAAGCTTCAGGACTTAGCTCAGGTATCACCGCCTATAGGAATTCCTTCATGAGCTTCCACAACCAACACAATGAATGTGTTTAATAGTATAGGTACTATTCTGTACTCACAGTCCTCTGCTCCTACAAAGAAGGGAGGGAGTTATATTTTCTATGCTCTAGGGTCAAGATTTGTCGCATTCTCTCTCTCTCTCTCCTTCCCTCCTTTTCTTCTTTCTTTCCTTCTTCCCTTCCTTCCTCTGACACTATTGTAGTTTTCATGTGTATTGCTTTCCTGGTTCTGATGACTTTGATTTGCATTAGTTTATATGTCTTGCTAGACCTTTCTGAATTTTTTCTATTCATTGTTTCTTACGGTGCAGCCACATTCCATTATACCCATGTGCTAAGATTTGTTTAGCTGTTCCCCATTTGAAGAGGATTGGCCATACTTTCATAGCCTTTCATTCGTATTTCAATACCTGAAAGCTTTAAAAGTACATTTATTTTTTTTTTCTTTGATACTAATGTAGACTAACCTTTCCCTCAGATTTCATGGTAGTTCAGAGCTGGGTGTGGGTGGGTAAAAGAATAATACTCTGACAGCCTTTTAGCCCTGCCTAAAGTTGACCAGGGCATTGATTGTGGGGAACTAAATACAGTTATGGTGGCTCTCTTATCCTGCATAGTTGCTATATGTGTGTTCAATCCATTAGTTTCTCTGCCTTTTTTTTTAACTATCTAGATACCGCAGTTCATTAGAATCTCATTTGTTTCCTTCCACCGTGGAAGTATCACATCCTAAGGGCTGAATTCCTTCTTTCCAATTGGTGGTATGTGGTTTTCTGGGTTTATATAAATGAAGATGAGGGTCACATATCCTGAGATGGAATCAGTCTCTTTTGAGGAGAGACTGACCTTTATCACCTTTCTCCCCTATCCCTTCCGTCTCTCCCCTCTCTCCCTTGCCTTGAAAGACATATGTTTACAGGGACATCCTCTTCTTTCTAGCTCATCACCTTCCTTCAGGTGTCAGGCTTAGGAATAATGGGATGGTTTGATGAGCAGGAGCACAGAGGAGGAAGGAAAGCCAATTTAAAATATAACCAACACTCAGTTATCTCCAAATGGATCATCCACACTGCAGATTATTCTCAGCATGTTTTTAATACCAAACTGACTTTCCCTGGCTAGTCTTTGTGCTTGAGATGCTTACCTGCTCAGTCCCCAAGTCCATGAAATACTAGTCAAGCTTAATATTTCCCTTAGCAAATTGTCAAGGCAGTGCACTGGAGTGGAGTGAACACTTGGGCTTCAGTTCCAGCGCTGACACCGACTATCCAGGGATCATGGGATCTTATATTTAGAGCTGGAAGGGACCTCAAAGGCCATCCAGTCCAACCCCCTTATTTTACAGACAAAGATACTGGGGCCTGGGGTTGTTAAATGACTTACTTCAGGCTGCTCTGGTAATAAGGATCAGAGGTAGGATTTGAATACAGGTCGCTTGACTCCTGAGCTAGTATAATGGTACCATGCTGCTTGGGCAAGTCACCTCCACCTTAGTCTCAGTTTCCTCACCTATAAAATGGGGTTATTATATTTTCATCACCTACTACTAGGTTGTTATAAGGAAAGTGCTTTGTAAATTGTAATGTTCTCAATATAAATGTGAACTATTACTACTGATTATTTAGTACTAATTAGGAAGACTAATTCATATATCTATATATGTGTGTGTATGTATATGCGTGTGTGTATATATATATATATATGTATAAAAAGTCTCCCTACTTAACCCTTCTCCTTCAAAATATATTGAGTCATATGAGATAACCAGTATTTGCAAACATTAAACAGTATATAAATGCTAGCTATTATTGTTATGGGTGCTAGGTGGTGCAGTGGATGGAGCTTTGGGCCTAGAATTTGGAAGACCCAAATTCAGATCCAGAGTCAGACATTAGCTACGTGATCCTGGGCAAGTCACTTAACCCTGTTTGCCTCAGTTTCCTCATCTGTAAAATGAGCCAGAGAGGGAAATGGCAAACTACTCCAGTGTCTTTGCCAAGAAAACCCCAAATGGGACCATGAAGAGTCAGACACGGCTGAACAAGAGCAACATTGTTATTGTTATTATTGGAATGATTACTAAACATCTACCAATTTAAATTATATGAGAGGCAGCCTGTTGTAGTAGAAAATGTTAGACTCAGAGTCAGGAGAGACTAAGGTCTAAATGTTGCCTCTGATGCCTACTACAAGCTGTGTGACCCTGAGCAAGTCACTTTACCTCTGTTTGCTACAGTTTCCTCATCTGTAAAAAATATAGTACTTCCCTCCTAGGGTTACTGTGATGATCAAATAAGATGATTTGTGTAGAACTTTTTGCAAACCTTGAAACGTCAGCTGTTATTAGTACCTCTATACCCTGCCCCCTCCCTTCTCCAAATTCAAGCACAGGTATTTGAGAAGTATTTACATTTAAATGGAGCTAGATGGTTCAATAAGTAGAGGGCTAAACCTGGAGTCAAGAAAAACCTGGTTTGAATCCTGCCTCAGGTACTAGCTGCATGAGCCTAGGTAAATCACTTAACCTTTCAGCCTTACTTTCCTCATCTGTAGAATGGGGATAACAGCACATCTACTTCACAGGGTTCTTGCCAGGATCAAATATTATAGCATATATCAAGTGCTCTGCAAACGTACAAGTGTTATGTAAACGCTTCCTATTACTAGTATTTGCCAAACCTTAAATTGACATATAAATGCCAGTTGTTATTATTTTGTGTGCCTTCCTCCCCTTCCTTCTCCTACCCTCACACGTAAGCACAGATATTTGAGAAGCAGTCAAATTTACCTTCTCAATCCTTTCAGCTTCTGGTTTTATAGGGGGTGGTGGGGTGGGTGCTAGTGGAGGGACCAAGGAAAAGTAGAGGAAAAAAGGGAGATGCCTACTCTTTCTTTTACTTTCTCTTTCTTTCTTTCTTTCTTTCTTTCTTTCTTTCTTTCTTTCTTTCTTTCTTTCTTTCCTTCCTTCCTTCCTTCCTTCCTTCCTTGCTTTCGCTTTCTCTCTCTCTCTCTCTCTCTCTCTCTCTCTCTCTCTCTCTCTCTCTCTCTCTCCTCCCTCTCTCTCCCTCTCTCCCCCTCCCCCCTCCTTCCTTCCTTTCCCTCTTTCCTTCTCTTTCTTCCTTCCTTCCTTCCTCCCTTTCCTTCTTTCTTTCTCTTTTTTTTAATAAATTTTATTATCTTTTATTTTAGTGTCATTTAAATTTCTTCCCATTTCCCTCCCCCTTGTCCTTTTCCTTCTTTAAATGCATGCAGCCCCTTCCCCCAAAGGCTTCTCAGCAGAGCTGAGCTGTGAGCTGGGTGAGATAAATCTTTTGGGCGCTCATTTCAACTGACAGGGGCCTAGCTTGTGATGAAGGTTAACAGGGTGGAAAATAATGAAAAAATGTCCACAGCTGGGCCCCTGGCCTCCTCATTATTGAAACAGTCCCCTAAACAAAGGAAAATCTAAACCCTTGGAGCTGATGGGGGAACAGATCTATCAGCCTCCCCTTATGTCTCAGAGCTGTGATGCTTCTTTGTATAGGGATCAAGGCTTTTAGAATCTAGGGACTAGGTCTTCTCTCTAGGCACTTATTATCTCATCTTGAAGATCTCAAAGCACTTGACCCTCCTTCTATTTGTGAATACTCACACATACCTATCTGGTGAATGAACCCCTCAGCCAACCCACTCTTACAATCTGAGAGATGAGTCAAAGAGGTAAAACAGTCTCAGTCAAGGTCAAGTGGCAGATCAGTGAAAATTCTGCCCATTTATCTCCCCATCCTTCATCTGCATTATTAAACTATGTATATGTATGTATGTATAATACAATTATTAATCATATGCAGCATTAATATGTGGAGCTATGCCAGGCAGAGCAGAAACCCAGTCATTTTTATGCCCAAGATTTGTTCCAAAAACTCTGTTCTCCCCCTGCTGTAAACACTGCCCGCCATGTGCCCTCCACCCCGATCCTTCCTGCCACCTTTATCCTGAGCTGATGTCCCACTGGCTTGGGTTGTATCTCTTTTGGC